TGTTGTGGGAGTTTCTCTAACCGACAACCATCACATAAGAGCTATAGTGATGATACAGCGATCGACCTCACGCTGCCAGAGCATCCTATTCCCGGCCAAAGGTATAGGACCTGAACTGCCTAATGGATCCACTAGTCTAATTTGAAAAGGATTCATCTAAAAAGTATGATCCTTTTCTACCCATGGTGGCTAACATGGTTCTATGGGGGCTGTGGGTTCCTTGAACGCTCCCCCAACTCGGTGCTTGATACTACTCCCAAAATGTACTGGCTCTCATGTTTTTAAAACATATTTCTTCCTGCTGATTTGAGATAATTACTCAAAAACTTAGCTCAAAGGCTATCTTGGAAATTTCAGTTTCCTCTCTTGCTTCATTTAGAAAGCGATAACTCTTTTTCTAGAAAACTAGCCCGAAGGCTCTTTGGAAATCTCAGTTTCTAATCTTGTTTAAATGTGAAAACATTTCTTTAAAACTTCTTTGGGAATACTTAGTTCCCTAATAACTTTTGAGAATTGAACTCAACTTTATACTCTTGACTTAACTTGAAATTCGAGCCTTAAAACGAAGTTAAAACGTTCGATAAGGACTCTTGAAAAACTTTAAAGACTCACTTGGACTTACTTCTTAACTTTGCTTTGACTTGATACTAACTCGCCTTGAATTGGATTATGGATTCAAGGTATATTGATCACATGTTTATGGATAAGTTCATGACGTTTAACGTACGTTGGAGTGTTGGAAATAACTAGGAAACATAGGTACAATACCAAGGAACATGCATGAGAAAGTATGAAAAGAAAGGGGAAACTTGGCGTCCTTGGCGCTCTGCAAGGCGCGGAGCGCCAGCCCTCGAAGCTCAGAAGGGGCCTACTGGCGCTCTGATAGGCGCGCCACCCCAAGGGGAAAAGTTCAGAACCCCTTTTGGGGCACGACGCGCCACCCCTTTCCCACGGAGCGCCAGCCCTCGAAGCTCAGAAGGGGCCTACTGGCGCTCTGATAGGCGCGCCACCCCAAGGGGAAAAGTTCAGAACCCCTTTTGGGGCACGACGCGCCACCCCTTTCCCAAGAAAACTCGACTTTTCTCCCTTGTTTTGCCAACTCTAAACCACCTTAACTTCAAAGGTTTCAACCCCAACCACTAAGAATCATAAAATCACTCAACATACAAGAGATTTCAACTCAAAAACACAACCGGAAACATGTCCCAAATCAACAAGGAACTCCAACAACACAATCAACAACTTCAACAACACAACCAATCTTTTGTTGAAAATAAAACGAGTTTGGCGTGTGGGGGAAAGAACCAACCCAACACTATGGACTCACATATCTAGTAGGGATCACCCCCGACGATATCCACGACGATCTTTGACGAAATCTTGCTTCTTCCTCTCTTTCTCCTCTTCTTCTCCTCTTCACTCTCAAACCCTAACTCTCACTCTTTAAAATGGAACAAACTGATCTAAAAATCAGTCTAACAAAACATTATAACCAAAGGTATTGGTTAGGGAAAAGACCAAAATGCCCTTAAAATTTCCGGACGGATTTCCCTGCCAACTGCCCAACTTCCAAAGGTCATAACTCACTCATACGAACTCGGAATCGAGCAAACTTGGTGGCATTGGAAAGATAATCCCACGATCTGCGCAACCATAACTGGAACTACACCTAACCCATCCTGAGCTAGAAGTTATGACTTCTCAAAGTTGGTCAAAACTCACCTTTTTCCCATACTTAGCCAAATTTCCAGATTTTTAAAATTCTTTCCAAATATGAAAATTTCCAATTTTTAAGCCTCTCCATAGTCATTTCACATTGCCGGATGTTACAAAAACTCTAATGGAGGAGTGTTTCACAACTGGAGAAAATACCTCATTATAATCAATTCCCTCCTTTTGAGCATATCCTTTTGGCCACCAATCTTGCTTTGTAGCAAACATCTTCTTCGTTAGGAAATCCTTCTTTCTTTGCAAATACCCATTTGCACCCAATCGCTTTCTTTCCCTCCGGGAGATTGGCCAATTTCCATGTATGATTCTGATGAAGGGACTGCATTTCTTTATCCATGGCAATCCTCCACTTATCTTCTTCTGAACTTTGGATTGCATCTTTATAAGTGGTAGGAGTGTCATCCGCTGCAATTGAGTCCGCACAAGCCACCACATCTATGAGTCGATCAGGTTTTCTTATTGTCCTTTTTGGCTTGCTGGTTCGAGCAGGTTTTCTTATTGTCCTTTTTGGCTTGCTGGTTGCTATTGATTCAAGTTGTGGTTGAGGTTCTTGAGATGGAACCTCCCCTTCGACTGGCTCTTCTTCCAGAGGAAAAACTTCTGTTGTTTCCTCATTTGATCCATGTGTTGGGAAAATTATCTTTCCCTCAAACTCCACCTGCTTTGAAGCACCATCAGCTTGTTTGACATCTTCAATTGTTACCTTATTTGTCAAGGTAGATTCATCAAAGGTAACAGCCTTGCTGAAAATATTTTTTCTTGCCTCTAGACACCATAAACGATATCCTTTGACTCCAGAAGTAATCCCCATAAATAAAGCTTTCTTTGCTCTTGGGTCCAATTTTGACTCTCTTACATGATAATATGCAATTGAGCCAAATACATGTAAAGAACCATAATCTTCAGCGGGTTTTCCATACCATTTTTCTAATGGTGTCTTCCCAGCTATAGCAGCAGATGGAATGGTGTCTTCCCAGCTATAGCAGCAGATGGTAGACGATTAATGAGGTGGCATGCATATGTTATTGCCTCATCCCAAAATTCTTTGCCCAAGCCAACATTGGACAACATACACCGAACCTTCTCCAGCAAAGTTTGGTTCATGCGTTCTGTCACTCCATTCTGTTGTGGTGTATTTCTGACGGTGAAATGTCTGACGATGCCATTTTCTTCACAAATTTTCTGAAAAAGATCGTTTTTGTATTCTCCACCATTGTCTGTGTGAATACACTTGATCTTTCTGCCAGTTTGAGTCTCTATCATCGCCTTCCATTTGAGAAAAATTCTCAACACTTCATCTTTAATTTTCATCGTATACACCCATAGTCTTTGGGGAAAGTCATCAACAAAGGTTACAAAATAGTGTTTCCCACCTAATGAAGGTTTTTTGGAAGCACCCCAAACATCTGAATGAACATAATCCAAAATACCTTTAGTATTATGGATAATTGTTCTAAATTTAACCCTTGTTTGTTTTCCCTTGACACAATGCTCACAAAACTTCAAGTTGCAAGTTTTTACTCCTTTTAACAATCCTTGATCTGATAAAGTTTTCAAGGAGTTTCCTCTAGCATGTCCCAAGCGCATATGCCACAGCCTGGTCATTTCTGCCTCCTTTTCGTCATTGGATGTTCTTGTCGCTGTCCCAATAACTTACTACCTTGATAGTGGTACATGCTATTATTTCTTCGAATTGCCTTCATTACCACCAGTGCACCGGAGCATATTCTCATTACCCCATTATCTGCAATGACTTTGAATCCCTTTTACTCTAGGGCTCCTACAGAAATGAGATTTTTCTTCAAATTCGGTACGTATCGAACATTTGTTAATTTTTTGATCAATCCATCATGATTCCTTAATCGAATTGAACCAACACCATATGCGGTAAGAGGATTATTGTTTACGGTGTGAATAACTCCACATTCTACTTCTTGTAAATCAACAAACTAGTCCCGATTGGGACAGATATGATAGCTACAAGTTGAGTCCATCAACCATACATCAGATGATTTGGATGGATCTATTGTAACTAGTGAGTAATCTGAGTCATCACAATCAGCCACATTTGAATCCATGGCAGCCTTCCCATTATTTGGTTTGGCCTTGCTTTTCAACTTTGGCCAGTCTTTCTTCCAGTGCCCTTTTTCTCGACAAAAGGCACATTCATCTTTGCTAAGTCTGGATCTTGACTTGGATCTCACGTTCTTCGTTCTCATATGATTTTGAGAACAACCTCTCACAATCAGTGCTTCTGCTTCTTCGTCTTTTTGTTTTTATCTCATTCTTTGTTCATAACTATATAAGGCAGAACAAACTTCTTTGAGAGATACTTCATCATTCCCATGCAGTAGAGTAGTTTCAAGATGCTCGAACTCATCGGAAAGTGAACTTAACAACATTAAGGCCATATCTCCATCCATAAAAGTCACGTCCATATTCCGCAAATATGTTGCCAACTTATTAAAGCTGGTGATATGATCATTCATTGTGCTACCAGGAATATAAGTGAAGCGTAACAGTCTTCTTTTCATGTAAAGTTTATTTTGACTGTTTTTCTTTAAGAATTTCCCCTCCAATGAATTCCACAATTTATTTGCAGATGTTTCTTTTGTGTATGGATACTTTTGCTCTCTTGCAAGGTAAGATCGAATGGTACCGCAAGCAACACAGTTGATAGTCTTCCAATCTTCTTCTCCTACACTATCTAGTTTCTTTTCTTCTATGGCAATATCTAGCCCTTGTTGAAAAAGGACATCAAGGACCTCGCCTTGCCACATTTGAAATGTCCTAACCCGTCAAAAATTTCAACTGCAAATTTCGCATTTGACACAATTCTTGTCATAAGCGAAGATGCCAATGATGACGTATTTTTGACATTCGATGTGGACTCGTCATTTTTATTGTCTCCCATTTTTGCTACAAAATACTATTTACTAGCTAACAATGCAAGCACCAAAGTAAATCTTTTTTTGACGTGGAAGTTCAGACTGTGCTGCAACCACAGAGCATAATTAGATAATACCTTGGCTATGATACCTATTTTTGCGGAAGCAGAATATATAGAAAGTGATGAAATCACAATTGTTATATCTAAAGGTAGCTAATAAATAGTAAATGAGACAACAATAAAAGGTACACCAGAAATTTATGAGGTTAGGAAATTTTTTGTATTTTTGCCTACTTCTCGGACACAACCAACTAATATTTATTTCACTCTGAAAGAGTACAAGTGAAATACTACAAGAAAGAAAGAAGAACAAATGCCTTTGAAGATGAGAAGGCAAGTGAGAGGAGTGTTACAAATGAATTAGGAGCTACCTATTTATAGGAGTGAATTCTTCCTATTGATGTCATCCATGACATCACAATGTGTCAAAATGTCAAGGTTTACCTTGTGAAACCATTTTATGATTTACATAAATTTCACCTACAAAGTTGCTATCTTGACTTTTGTACCAAAGAAGAATTATCTTCCTAACTACCAAATCTTCACATTAATTCATATTTGAATCTTGTCAAATTTAACTGTTATTCCTACTTCAACTGCACAATTCCTCATGAAAGACTTAAAGCATTTACAAAATATTCTATTTATTTTATTTATTTCTTTTACTGGTTTTTTATTTTTCTCCAAAAATTATCTATCAATGCACTTGAAGATTTGATTTATCTACCTTTACTGAATGGAGTAGACTTTAAAATCTCAAAAGAAGAGCTGCCATTTTGGGGAATATGAGAATTAGTAAGGAAAACTATTATTAGATTATATTATGTTTGGTATGACAAAAGTAAATTTCCATCAAACAATTGGTTTTTATCCCTCCTCCCTTGGTGATGTTGACACCCGATTTTGACCCTCCCCGATAAGAATTAATTTTCGAGCTTATTTAATTTCAAACGATTTGAAATAATTAATTTTATAAAAATTCAAAATATGTTTCAAGATATTTTTAAGAATTTTATTCACTTTTATAATATTTTAAACATTTTAAATAATAAATATGTTTTATATTGTTACGTATGTAACTAATATATTTTACAAATACTTGGAAACTATCTTGAAAAGGTTTCATTCATTTTTAACGCTAAACACTTTACTAATTTAACTTAGTTTGAATTATAGTTATGTTTTGAATTAATTAGTTTGATTAAGTTAATTATTTTTATTTTGTTAAATTTAAGAAGCTTGTTAATTAATCTTGTTTAAATTCATCTCATTTAGCTTTGGCCGAATTTTCTAATTAAACCCGATTTGGCAAAATTCTTAGATTCAAAGGACCAAATTTTGGGCCATTTCTAATTTCCAATTCAACATTTCAGCAGTCCATTCTCTTAATTTCCAGCCCATTTTCCCACAGCCCTTTTCCAGACCCGACCCCAGACCCACGTTTCTTCTTCTTCTTTTTCTTCAGCAACAACGCAGCAAACAGAACTAGCAAACCCAGAGAAACGTACAGTAGCAGTCCAAATACGCCGACACACGCAACAACACAAAGCAGGCACGCGTCTGTCCCCTTTCCTCTTCCGGAACGGGTCAAATTTCAGGAAAAAAAGATGTTTATCCCAAATGGTGCAAGAAATTTTGGGTTTTGAATTTCGAATTCACCCTAATTTCACCCGAATTCCCCCCAAAATCGTGCCCTATTTCCTCTTATTTATATTCCCCCTCTATTCATGGTGTAGGAGGGATTTTTTTTTTGGGAGAATCAAAAAGGGGGTTGAAGATTTTATTGAGCAAAAATACTAAGGAAAACTTGAGCAAAATACTTTAAATACACTTCGTGAGCAGAGGAGATTATAGTTTCGATATTCGGGTTTAAGTTCTGCCCAGATTGTTGTTTGGTTGTTCGTGTTCGAATTTTGCGTGGTGAGGGTCGTCGTCCTGCTCGTGCTGTCCTTGTTTGCTGCTTCAGAAAAGGTAAAATCCTTTTGATTCTAACTCTTTTAGTTCGTCTTTCGTTTACAAATGAGAGCTCTCGTCTGATTTATGCTTTCCTCCCTCTTGCTGAAATATTTCTCATTGTACCATTTTATGTTCAGTTTATACTCATCGGTGTATTATGTTAGCGATAGTATCCATATCATTTTGGTGGGTTCGCTCGAATGTTCTAGGTCGTGACCATTTTTGTGGGTGTCTTATTCTACATGGCTTTTCTCCTAAGTCTGTTATCTGCCATGATTTTTGTATTTTGAGCAAACATGTTAATCCCTTCCCCTGCTCCTTTACGGAAGTCCCTGGGGTCAGCTCTTGTTTCTCTTATATGCGCGTAAAGGTGATGCTTCCAGAATCGAAGATAGTTCTTTGAGACTCAATTTTACTTGCTACTGTTTCGAGTATCGGGTTGCGTTGTTTTCTCTTCGTTTCTGACTTTATCGGTTTGATTGGTCAAAGTCTATTATATATATATATATATATATATATATATATATAAGAGAGGAAA